AATTTCAGAGGAACACTGCACAAACCGGAAGTTCACATGTAGAGTCACAGGTGATTCACAAGCGAAGAAGTCCTAGGCGTTAGTGAGCTTATGAAATTCTCAGTAATTTATCGTGAGTTCGCCAGAATTTCATATATCATCAAGCATCAAGAGAATTTTCTACCTGTAGGGTGGTTCATAGATAACCGTTACATTACAATATCAATAAGTGGCAAAAGCTCTATGTGGTTTCGGAGGCTAAGCTTAGTCTTTTTCTCTATACAGAGTATCTGGTGCAGTCTGAACCAAAAATCAAAGAAACAATAGACATTCATATTCGAGTTCGTGTTCAAAATGCGTTAATTATTTCAAAAAATTAAGCAAATCCACTAGCAATCTCTTAACAAACTTCTTTGAAGACTCTTTCCCGTCGTCTTAAAGTGAGAATGTCCCTAATCCATCCAAGAAAGCCATCCTTTTCCAGCCGGAACCTGTCCTCGCGACCTACTCTAAGCCGGAGCTAACAGCAAAGAATGTCTTCATTGATACCCTCATAAATACCTCTTAAGCGAGTGTCAACGCACTGTCATTAAAGATAACTAACTATCATTACTTTTGTTTGTACACCGATAGCGCAACTGCGCGTGAACTTTCTTTAAATATTGTCGGTTTGGGACGAGTCTCGTAAAAACGATCGTAAAACCTCTCATCCAGTTATAATTTTTATCTCAAATCTTTATTGAATTAGATACACACGAAAGTTTCTGAAAAGGGAAACATTTTTAGTGCACGTACGGGACTTGTTGCAAGACACGGTTGTTTTTATGTATTCTGAGAAAGTTGATTAAATCATTCAGCTTTCGTATTTACAAAAACATATTTAAATTATTTAGGTTTTCTATAATTCATATTACTTGTAGTGTAGTGTACCCCAAGTACTCTTCTGCAAAATACAGGGACATTTATCTCCAAGCCTTAACTACATTTTTAAATTAACGCAGCTTGTGCCTTTTACCAGAGCTAAAATGCATAAAAGTTGAATACCCAGTTGCTTTAATTTATTCGATCAAGTTGAAGAATTCTAATTGAAACTACCAGCGAAGCAGCTTCGGCGACAGCTGAACAAATTCCGAACGGACTCCCACGAGATGGGTAAGAAGTAGGTAAGAGGCAAGAGCTCATAAATTCCATCGTCCACTAGTTGTTGATTCTCGGAAGCATCCGCATTCTATCAGAACATGTTCTTAATATCTAGCTGAAGGTGAGTCATTTGCGACACTGCACTAGGGCCATTAAAATTCTAGTAAACCCCGACACATCAGTCGCCACCGGTTCACGCCGATCGATTACGCTCGCGTTAATCAACGGACAGGTTAATTAAAGGTTCCCGAGATTCTGATTCATCAATCGCCTTAATAGCTACAGCAATAAGGTGGAAATGTTGAAAATTATATGCTACAAGTACCTACGCTCTGTCACCATCATAGTAAATTCTTGATTGATTAATCATACATCAAAATTGCAATCTAGCTTGGTTATGCATTGTTTTGACCTAAGCTAAGGTGGTTCTAGGAATTCGATGATCTTATTATACCTACAATAATATAAAAACTTTCGTCGCTGGATATTTTTATGACTGCAGGTAAATCAGAATGAGTTTTTTCTATTGAAAGATGTGGTAGGTATGGTGGAACCTATTCACAATTTTGCAATTTTGGCGCTTTAGTTTTTGAAGGAACTCACAGGAATGTCTCGCATGATAGCATAAATGGAATGGTAGCATTATTTATGGTCCTGCTAGAATAGCTCCTGCACTCAAGAAAACCTAAAGGGGGTACTTTTTCTCCCATTTATGTCTATCTATGTTCAGCAGAGGACGTCCTGGGGCTGAAGCCTGAAATAAACAGATATTATGCCCAAGTTTATCCGAGCATCTGCTTTGAAAAGAGCTATTGCTGAAAAAACTAAAAGACGCCGTTTTCTGGTTAAAGGACAACCTCAGATCAGTTAACAATTAAATTTAAATAAAATGTTTTGGGCTTACTTTAAGAGTTTAATGCCCGTTTTCACCACCAATTCCTAATTTTTAAGTGACCCTTATGAAAACTAAATTCCTGTTATGTGTTACCATAGGGTTAAATTAAAAATTAGGGATTGATGGTGAAAACGGGCATAAGTGAATCGAATATAATAAAAAGGATTTAATCCTTTGCAAAATGTGAAGAAACAGTAGGTAAAAGGAAATAGGCAAATCTCAAAAACTGATCGGCAAAATAAATAAACTTGGCTCTCAGCGCGTCTCTTTAAACATTTACGTTCGTTCGAGGAAACATCGTCGAATTGCATCAAAAAACGTTACCTACCACGTGTTGTGCCCGCGCTTTGTAAACATGCATTATTACTGGAGGCAACGACCTCGTAAACATGTACACAAAATAAGTCGTAAACAAACTGCATAGGAGTTACAATTATCAAATCGACTGATTGTTTGATGGGCTGAACGAGTGCATGAATTTGCATTCAGAAGAATACAGTTTAAGGATTACACTGGTCAACACATGTTTTTTTTCCTTTATTTTTTTTTTCTGTTATTGGGTATTTCTATGGCCCTGATTATGAAAAAAATACTGGGAGATCGTCAACAGCTTTACTTTTTAAAATATAGAGTTTTATTATTTGACATAAAAATACGAAAAATTATACATTGTGTTGATAAAATATCTATTGAACACTAGCAAATGATCTTTTATATGATTTCTTTGAATAGACAAGTTTGAGTAGATCTCGTTGCAAATTCCAGCAATGGTCTGCCATTCATATAGATCACCACCGCCCCTGATAACCTTCTTCCATTTTCCGAAAATTCTAATGACATCTTTTATCCTGCTCCTCACTAAACTCACCCACATTTTGTGGAAATCGATGTTAATGCGAGTACATGAAGTGTATTTTTATGCCCATGTTGCACCCTAGCTCTTGCAAGTTGGATAGCATGCTCTCAACAATTTCTTTTTGCTTAGGAAATTACTTATAACCAAAAAAAATAATTCTAAGCTTAGGACTGGACTTCAGTCATTGAATTCTTAAAATTACGATCATTACCAGTTGCCTTATGTGAGTCCCATCAAAAATTATCAACGTTCAAGTTTTCTGTGCTTAATCCTGAAAACTTTCATGAATGAAAATTATAACATTCGTTACTTTTGTCAAGCACCTTCACAGACTGTTTCAAGATGCCAAGGTTAATATAAAGTAGTGGAAGTACGGTGATACGGTCTTGGCTAACTAAAGGCATGTTTATAAAATAGTTTGTATCAACTTTAGCTGAAAAACAAAAAGTTGTGTGTGCGGGAAGCCGCACTTGTCAAAATTTTTGTAACCAATGCTTTTGTTTGTTACGACTATTCCAGATACACATGATACGGGAATTTTGTGTAGCCCGATTGTTGGCCTAAAGTAAGTTACCTATTCTCAGAACACAAATAACCCATTTGTGGTCTTGATTAATTAAAAAATATTCAAATATTTATTTTAAAGTGTCGATGTTACGCAATTTTCATGAAATCCGATAGAGGTTTTCGACATTTTTCAAATATTATATTTACCACAAACATAGCAGAAGCAATCTAGATTAAGCACACAACATCTTCATAACGAAGCAATATCGAAAACACCAACAAAATATATTTTTTTTGTCCAATTAAATCAAAAATCTAAGTAAAAATATTAAATGAAGGTAGATAGCTATAACTTAAAAACAAAAGCTGTTAGAGAAAAACTGTTGCCATATTTAAAAAATATGCGTCAATTTGATATAGAAACAGAAAAAAAATCACAGGAAACAAACAATTTTATTTTTTTTGTTGACCAGTGTTATTTTTCCTTATTTTTTCTTTATTGTTGTTTTTCTTTTTTCCGTAAGATTTTAGCTTATTAACTTTTTGATCAGACTCGCTGATAAATTATATTGCTTTTAACTTTCGCAAGTAACTGATAATTAACTTTCAAACCATGACATGTCTTTGTGAGAGTCGGCCTGAAAATACGATTTGTTTTATAATAAGCTTTAGTTACAGTGATTCTGAAAAACATTCTGAAGTTTTTGAAAAAGCTCCATTTAGTACTTGACTGCAAAATCAAATGGTTTCCTGGTTAATTTTACAGTTAAGTCCTTAGTGTTTCTGAACTGGCGAATAACGTAACGTATTCCATCCATCAACTATTCTTCAAAAGTGCATTTCTGTCATAGAAGCCTTTTAAGAACCTATTTATCAGCCTCGAAGTCTCTTTTCTATCGTAAATGCTGCTTCACCTGTTTACGGAATTCATTGGAATCGCGTAAAAAGGGTTCATCTTCTAATTGCTGCGATTAAAAGGGCATCTACACATTCCATAGTTCTAAGGCCCAAAATGGAGTGGAGTTGACACCTGTTAGTTCGGTGTAGCGGTGTTGGTCGGTGTCGCACGCGCTGGTATGCGCCCCCCTCCCCGCGCGCTCACACCATTCATTAGAATGCAGGGACTATACTTTTGTACACCTCAATAGCAGTACACACTATTTAACCTTACTTGGGTTTTAGAATTGGAAACCTTTGGTAACGGTAGGTGGGTGGTTTTTATTTCGACGCTAGAGCGGCCGACTGCAGTGGGTGGTCTGGTGCGCGTCACACGGCGCCACATTCAATGCAATTTCGGGAGCTAATAATGTTAAATGAAGCGAAAAATAATCAAATAATTAACCAACACAGATACTTTACTGCATACTGCTTGACAATTAGCAATTAATTTATTTTTATTTACTTTATTGGCCTGCACTTCGTCTATCAATTTTCAAAATGATTAATAAAAAATACAAAACGCTCATTATAAATCTGATATTGATGTTAATGATTTGTTATTGAATTGCGAATTATTAGCATAATTGAACTTATTATACATTTTTTGTTTATCAGATGTATCGCTTTTTGTTAAAGTAGCAAAATATGAGTACAATAACAACACACAATTTTTATTTGTTACAGATTAATTTAATGTCTTGCTATGTGCATCCTAACAACCTGTACACTGGTAAGTGTAGCGCCAGTATAATTCTAATTAAAAGTAAAATCAGTGAAAACATTTAAAGTGCGCTGTTAAAATGTTTGGAAGCACAATTGAAGAATTGGACAGTATTTGACAGCGGCCTGTGTTAATAGAGCGTCAGTCGGGCCGAGTGCAGCGGGCGGGTGCGCTGGGCCGCTGGCTGCAGCGGAGACGAAGGGCTAATGAAATGTGGCATCTAGTTTAGTGGCACTGTAAGTTGATCGTGGGTGGTGTGCGGCGGGCAGCACGCTCGGAATGCGCTGCCCTCGGCGCCAGTTTACAAATAGAAGGGCCGCTAGCGGCTGCACGTGTGATACATTGCCGCGATTAATCTGTTAACGATGATGGCTGCGCTTGCGCCGAAGACGCGACGATATCGCCCGACGATTAATAATCGGGAAGTGTGTGTGTATTGTGTTTGTGAATTTTTGCGCGCGGGATTGTTTACTGTAGAACGCTTGAAGCACGGGAATGACATCTCGGAGGGACGTTTGTCGGGCACAAGAAAGCGATGCGGCCCTCCGTTCGCTGACCCCGGCGGCCGTCACGCCTGAGAGAAGACGAGTGCAGCCACTCGCCGTCTGCCCTCCCTCGTCTACTGCTCCCTAACTATGCAAACGAGATACCCGGATCACATTACTCTTGAATTAAACAGTTAAGCCGCTTCCAAGTTTAAACTTGAGTTTCTTAAGTTGGATTACTTTGACTTGAAGACAGGAAAGACTGTAATTTAGTTATTTGATGACAATAAATAGAAATGGTGTCGCAGGCAATTTGTATGATTTCGCATTTTATAAACGGCGTTGACCGTTTACAAACGGTCGCTGTTTTATGAAATGCCGAAGGCAAATTGTAAATTGCCTTGGCACTTAATAATAATATGCCACAACATTTGATAGACAATTCAATCGCCGTTTTCAAATGCCCCGGAAAATTGAAGTATTTGGTTCTTTTTTACCACGCATGGCGCTGCTAATTAAAACAAGAAAAATGGCGAGTAGTGGTGTTGTGACTCAGAAAAATATTAAAAACAGTGCAAATTCTACGTGTTCAAAGGACTTTTCACAAAAAAAGTATAGTTTTAAATACATTCGTTTTACGATTCACAAATAGGAGCAGTAAAAAAGCCGTGGACAAATGAAAAAGATTTCGAGGTTATCCGGCACGTAAAAACGCTAAGGTGTCCATGGAATCTGCTGCTCTGAGGACTGCTGCTGCTCACTGAAATATAACAAATAGGTATAAAAGTACATGACACTTTCAGTTTGTAACTTTTTTTTGCCTATATTGAATATTTTGTCATTATTATTTGGTGTTATGGCTTCTAGGAATAATTAAAAGATTAGACTTAATGAAAGAACTGACTATCGTAAGCTTATTTTATGTTCCTACCTATCCATTTGTCTTTAGTCATATTATTAATCAAAGTTGCATTATTGTTACATCGCGTAGGTACGTCATCAGTTTAAATTAGTTCCTGAAATAAAGTCTAATTTGTCCAACAAGTCTTTTACGTTGGTCACTCTATTGCAACAATCATAGTCAAAATTTTATCAATTTAACGAGTCGCCAATTTGCCTTAGGCATTTCATAAAACAGCGAGCGATTGTAAACGGTCGACGCCGTTTGTAAAATGGGGAATAATACAAATTGCCTGCGACAGATTTAATAAATTATTTAAATAGGTAAGTACTTTGTTAAAATTTTGGAAGTAGTTAAAGAATAGACCAAATTTTACAGTTGATTGTAGCTTTATCTTTCCATTATTTTGAAACGGCCTTTGGACTGAATTAAAATGATAAATGACACTTAATCTCATTTCTAAGTGACACATTATTACAGATTCATACTACAGTAGGTACTAAGGCTGGGTTGCACCATCTTAAAGTTAAAGTAAGAACTTTAACTTTGACAAAAGTCAAAAATCTGTCAAACTCCATACAAAAAGCACCGGTTATCGTTATAATTAAGGTCAAAGTTAGGTGGTGCAACTCAGCCTAAGAATACAGTTCTCTGAATATTTTTGATACTTGATGATCTTCAGGGATACAATATAAAAATGTGGGGCTTATTTATTTATTTATTAAGACGTACAACAAAAACAGGTTACAACAAAAATATTAATTTCAGATGCAAATTGATTTTATTAAATTAACTATTAAGAAGGGTTTTTCTTCTGTTTGATTTCAGTTCTTCTTCTGAAAAGGTAAATCCCTCAATGTTTGAAAATAAACATTGCTTAGTTCTGTTTCATTTCGTACCACTGGCAACATTTTATTACTATACCTCAATAAAATATGTAAGTCATTAAAATTTCAGAAATATTAATTGTAATCTACATTTTTAAATGAGTAGGTACCTTAGTTAATTTAATGGTAATTTTTGCCAAACATTTAATACTAAACAATCATTTTACAAAATTAGTTTAGTATATGTTTTAAAAGTAGACAAAAATATCTAACAAATAAAACGGAACAAATAGCAGGAGCCAGTAAAACCAACCAATTATAATTGGAATTATTGCAGAAAAATAAAAAATCACGTCCATGCAATAGTGCCATAACTCAAATAAAATAATATCGTTAATAATGAAGAACATTTTATTTAATACAAAATTAGTAGGTAATGGTATTTCCAACGAGCGGAAAAATAAATAACGCTTATTTCTTTACCTGTAAAATATACTTTTACTATTTTAATGAGTGGTCCGAATATAGTTTATGCTTTGCGCAATATTTTAAAAACTAAACTGGCAACACTAGTGTTTACATTTGCGATTTCAAATTGAACAGGTTATTTTAATAATTTACCGAATGCAATGTTTCGTGTATTTAATGTACCTTTACCAAAATATTAACAGAATTTATCATTACCGATTTAAGTAAAAGATACATAGTCGTAGAATAAGTACTACTTAAGTAAGAAAGGGAAATAGATGGATTTTGAGACAAAAATTGATAACTACTTACTTAAATTGATGTAATTTATACGACATAATAAGTATTATTATGTCGTATAAATGACATCAATTTTCCTTTAAGGGATCTTACTTACTACATTACTCCCTGAGATAAAAAATAATAATTTTACTAAGTATGTGTAATTTTTCAATTGATACCTGAAATTAGGTATTACACTCGCTTTGCTTCAGTCTATTTATTTTTTTCTGAAAGTCACATGCGAAATTTGGGTAGACCCATAAAATTTGAGATTTTTGTCGCTCGCTTCGCTCGCTCAATGACGACCATGCCTTCTACCTTCACTGTCATTCTCTGTCAAATCGCAAGCCTCAGCTAGTGTTGCCATAAAATCATAAGTGCTAAAGTCTAACTAAACAAAAATAAAATTACAAAATAACAACATTAATTTACTTATCTATCTAACATTTCTAGAATAAAATGCAACGTAAAACAGTATCTGTTTTCAGTGCGACAACACTGTCTTGTATTGCATCACGATGGCGCCAGCGTGTTTTGTAAATTTTGTTGAAATTTGTTTTGGAAAGTGTCATTTTATCTAGGAGCTAAGCATGAGACCAAGATTAGATATGTAGGCACAGCCCTACACGATAAGAACGGAAATTCCATCGTGAACTGCACGCCCTATATTCCCTGTAATTTTGTTTATGCTTTAGATTAGTTTTAAAAGTTGTATATTCATTTATTTAAATAATTATTCTAAGCGTTATATTAAAATGATTAATATTTAACATTAAGTAGAATATATTTGCAAATAAAAAATATAAATAGTAATTTTTTAATTACTTAAGAAATGAAGTTGGATTAAATACTTAATAAATTAATAAATAGAAGTGTTTAAATGTTAAAGATATTGTTTTCAGATGATAATTTTAACATTTATAATATAATTTATAGATATTAATTGATAATACTGACTGATATAAGTAATTCTGCTAGGTTTGTAAGAGAATTTAAAAACAGAATAAGTTGCCGAAATAATATCTTACTTAAATTAAAATTTGCTTTAGTGACATGCTATATTTTAATATAATTTTTACAAAATCCATATAATTATAAATTAAATTAAGAGTATAAAATAATATTTAATTATTTAGATTAAATAAAATAAAAAGCGTAAATGTTACAATAATTAATGGCAAGCTACGCATTTGTTTTCCTTGGTTGGTAGACTTGAGCGCGACAAACGCGTGGCCTGCGCGACTCACGCGCACACTGTCCGCTGCGTATGGCAACACTGGCACGCACTTTCTGCGCCCTTTCTATGTTCCTACCCTCTCTACAACTTAGCGCCTATAAGATATTAACAAAAAAATGCACAGTAATAAATATTTTTAATGAAAAATCATCAGTTTTTATTCGGCAAGTAAAATCTACATTAAAATCTAAAAATCACAGAAGATATTGCTAAATTCCCTACAAATAATGATTAATATCAAATTTAATTCCTTATTTGTGTTTTATAGTGTGTGTAGATAAATAAACAACAATAAACTAAAATTATATTTCATCGGTTTTTGAAAAAAAGACAAAACATAGGCAGTTCGGCTAAGTCAGCAAAATCTAGACTGAACCGCATGAAGGCTGAAGTTTGGGCTATTATAAAATTTTATATTTTAAATAATTTGTAGAACTAAGTTGTTATTTTTAAAAATATCATTAGGTAATAAATTCAAATAAATAATTAATAAAAAGCAATTATTTAATAATAAATATGCAAATTTAATTTTTTCATAGGCCGGCTAGATAAAACACATTTTTCCTAGCTTTACAAATGAATACATGTAAGTAGTATTATTTTAAAAATTAATTTAATAAATATTACTGATTGGTTATCAATTTATTGCAATTTTATGATAAATTTATAAGATTTAAAATACAGTCTTATTTTATTTACGCTATACTTCTTTAAAATAATTATTAATAATTTATTAATAACGTTTTAAGTTAACGTTTTAGGATTAAGGGTCAAAAGTAGATTTTCAATTTTAATGTGCGTAATAAGTATTATGTTTAATATCGACTGAGTGACTGATTGTTGTCAATTTACCATTTACAACCCTATTTAAAATCCACATAATTTCCATATTTTTTTTAAATATGTTTGTTATATGAAATAAAAATAATTAATTGAAAGTCTTAAATATTTTTTATTTATAATTAATATTTTCATGGTTAGCTTTTCATGATATTTCATAGAAATATTAAAGTAATTTCTATGTATATTTCTATATACTATGTTATTAAAATTAACAGAAAACTATGCCTAGCATTATAATTATATGGCACAAATATTAACTTTAAACTATTTAAAGTAATTTTTATTTACTTCTACAAACTAATTTTGGTGATACCATTTAAAATTACAACTTGCTAATTATTTTGTTTGCCTGCTTATAAATCTAAATATAGTTAGCTAACACTTGTTTTAAAAACATTTTGTAATAATATAATTGACTTTAAATGTTTATAACTTACATCAATATTATTTAATAGTGTAGTACCAAGATGGAAGCCTAGGTATTTTTATTTCAAAATAATTATAAAGTAAGAGGTTAATTACTCAAAATAATAATATTTAGCTAAATAGATTGTTATGTATTTTTACTGACTGACTGTAAAATTTGCAAAACATTGTACCGTTGCTTGTTTAAAAATAAACTTAGAATTTTAAAATTTCTTTGTTCATCATACTGAATAGGACTGCAACTGAACAGTATCTACCCACATTAAAATTTTGTTCCTTAAAAATAGTAAAATGCATGTGATGATCAACTGAAATTTTTATGAAACAGTTTTCTGATAACCATACGTTCTAAGTAGAAATAATTGCCTAATTGTAACATTAGTAAGCTGAATTCCGAGTTCATTTGTAGTAGTGTGATAATGGCGTTTATCGCTCATTGAAACAGCACAAAGTGAGTGTGTCAGTGGCGGTGGAAGTGCCATGGAGCGGCCACGTGGCAGCGGGCGCCTCGTCCATCGCGACAGTGCATGTCAGTTTTCTGGAAAAATTTTCAAAACTAGCACAACGGCGGCGGCGCGGCGTCGGCGAGCAATTTGCGAGGCACCGCGTGTCAGTGTGTGAATCCTCGTCGCGACCGGAGCGCGCTAGTGTGCGTGCACGTGAAGGTCGAATATTTGTCCCTACTCGTCGGTCTATTGGTTCAACACTCGCCGCTGTGATAATGAGCGGCCGTGGTCTCTTTCGCACAGCCGGCGCGGCGCACCCGAGGAAAGGGACGGCCGGCGTTGTGCGCGTGCGCCGGAGCCTCCGCCAGCGCCGGCGCGGCCTGCCCTCATCAGTCTCCCCGCGGCGGGGAAGCGGTTCGCGTGTGCAACTCCGTGTCGGCTCAGCTACGGGCTCGAGCGCCTTGCGTCGCACACGAATATTTTTAGATAACAGCACGAATAATTTATTTGCAAGGTAGTGATCGCGCGCACTTTTGCGGATATCGATATCAGCGCATGCGGGCTCGCGTGTGCTGCGGCCGCGGCGCTGCGGCGCAGCTCGGCGCTCGGGCAGCCGCCGGCGGCGAAGTCCCGGTAGGTAAGCTGCGCACTTCCTGCGCGCGCGCCGCCATGTTCGGGCGGAGCGTCACTTCCGCCGGGGCCGGAACTGGCGCGAGCTGCGGAGCTGCGGGCCCTGCGGCGACGCTGGTGCGCTCGCAGCTCGGTGCGCGCCCAGGTCAATGAGCGGCGGCTCTCGATTCATAAAATGTCGGTCGTCCCATTCACGCCGCGGCGCGATGCTACGCCGACCGTTCACTCGTGACCCTCGCGTCTTCGAATATTCATGTCTCCCTCGATAACATCGTAACCTCTGACTTCTTTTTGTATTATCACGTTGTTTAGTGAACGCAACTAGCTGAGGCCGGACTTCGTGCGATGTGTTGGAAACATAAGTTTAGTGTCCGTTCAACCGTTGTAAGATATTTGTTCAACTGTGAAAATTTGGTGCATAGTGAATAAAATAGTGATTTGCGATACGTATCATGGAGTGTTACCAATATTAGCGTAAGATTAGAAATAATATTTGTTTTATTATTTTCTGCACATTTAAATTATATGATTTTTACCACAAATTATATATTTAAATCATTTATTGCTAAAATAAGTTCAATACTTTTGTTAATAACATTTTAAAATTTTGCAACTGTTAAAATACATCTTTAAAAAACGTGGGTAGTTGAAAAACGGTGACTTTCAAATATCTAACGTCAACCGTGTCATTCACCAAAGTCTGTGGTATTATGATTTGAATGTACAATCATTACGCGATTTGCAATCATTGATAAATATTTGAGGAGTATGTATGAAAGGGTATCTGATATGAATCTCGGGCGTGGGTAATAAATTGAAACAATGTCTAGTGGCGGCGAGACGGAGTACGGCACCCGACCATGACGTCTGCCGTCCCGTTCGCTCGTCTGCGTTTCACTTAACCCCCGTTCGCTATGTATTGTTCATGTGCATAATTATTACGCTACCCTCATCTTATTCATTAGATGCCGATTGCAAAAACGTAAAGATAATACTTTTCAACAGCACTCAGAAATAATTACATTTGTAACAAGTTATTGATACAAAAATTGAATTTGATTTAATATTATCAAGTTATAATGCTTCAAATTAATTGATATTTGAAGCCTTTACTGTTAGAATATTATCGTTGAACATGGGTAATAAGAATTCAAGGAACAGATAAATAAAATAATTTTTGAATACCCACATATTACCTATTCTTTTATATTAAAATGTATTATTTCAATATAATCATAATAATACGAATATAATGATAATAGAAACTAAAAACTATTTGAACATTGTAATATTTATTACTAAATTCAAATAAGAACAGTATTTTTATCGCATGAAATTTGTATTGGTCATAGGATAATTCATTGCGTCTGCTCTAATTATGCGGTATTATGGTCCATGATGATGAGTCAGGTGAATGCGACGTCAGCAACACGTGTGCTCTCTGCGCTGAGTCACAGCATCTCTCGGTGACGTATGCGCTCGCAGCGCACTGCGCGCCCTTCGCTCCTCTAACCTTTGCTCCCGGTTTATCAGTGTTGTATCACTGCATCGTCCCACTGCACACCACCGTGCCGTGCCAGCACTCTTGTGACACATTTCATCGGCCGCCTACAAACCGCCAAACTGCGAACAGAGTGCGTGGTGCGCCTCCGCTTCCGGCGCAACACGACCGGCGTGGGCGCACATTTCATAAGCATTTCCTTCGTCGCTTCCTCCCACCGAGGGTATACCCTCTATATGCGGCTCTCGCCCAAGAATGGCAGTCCACAGCCGACTCTTTAATCGAATTGCAACACTCGTCTCGGCCGCGTGTAGGACGATATCAAGTGCGATATGCAAATGCCAAGTTACTAAACTGGTCAGTCATTGTTGTATCCGCACTATAACTACGCCGACCGTCATTCATGACCGTATTCACCGCGCCACGCTTCCGTCACGCTACAGTATCGTCTATAAACCTCCAGGTGATTGTCGATATCCGTGTGACTAAATTATTCGCTCGGCGAGATGAGGTGCATCAGTTTGCACGTCGCTCGCCACGCTAGCATTTCTCAGCCCCACGATAACCTATATTAAGGGTCGCTCGACAAAAAGCGATCATTATAAAGGATGTAAAGACTGCACCGGCGCCGGGCCTTCCCAGAACTGGGCCCATTCTTATTTTGCGCTCCCGCCTTATTCATGGCCTTTTTTGTAGAGTTTTGGTCATTTTTTTCACGGGAGCGGTTCCCTTGTGAGAGTTTCAAGGAAATGGCTTATTGGGTTTCGTATAGGAGCCGGGTTTATCTCAAGGAGGCGATCGATGGCGCGCTCAGCCTGAGAATGCACGTCGCATATCTCGTGCACCGTTACATGCCGCATACCAGTTACTCTGAATACTCTGATGCATGTCACCACCGGTACTTTTTTATTATTTACAATAATCGTACTGTCATTAATGACACAAACATATCAATTTGAAATTATATTTTAAGAAGTTCCTTTTGTATTTTACATCTCGATTAATTTTTATCTTCAACAGAACTTACTTTCAATTATGTTATGTTTATTAATTGTTCCTAACATATCATTACTAAAACTGCCCTAAAAGTATCAAGACGGTTATGGCGCACTACACTAAAAGTTGCACCAAAGCTCGCGCAAAAATTTGACAGAACAAAACTATGTTACAGTATTATTTATCTGCAGCTGCGATTGTGTCTTGTCTTTTGTTGTGGTGAGCACCGAGCAGTTAGTATGAGCAGTTTAGTAGGCTGACTATTGTGTGATACCGCTGTTTTATGTCACAAAGCTGTTATTATTACGTGTATATAACCTCTTTCACAGACGGGACGATTAGACAGACAGCAGAGACATCGCCTTGGCTCCGTCCCAACAGCCGAACCATTATTATCATATATTTGTTTTCCATTGAACACTTTGAAATCTTACAGTGTTGTCATTTTGCGATTGAAACACAAGAGAATGTTTTTTCATGCAGCAATAGTTATTCAGTCGGAATGACACCAAATTGTATTTCTCACAGATTGTTCAGCCAGCGCTGGGAAAACAATCCTGATATTCAATAAGAAATAAATAACGTTGATTGTATTAAATTATATTCAGTGATTGTGTTAAGAGCTGCGTTTTCTTGCGTTTCAGGTGTGGCGAAACAGCGCTTGCGCCAGCGGCGCGCCGCCTGATGGACAATGACTTGTTATTTTGGTATGTACACTTTTATTAGCATTTGTGTTAACAAATGCTATAACTTTGTAATTATATGTTTATCTGAAGTCTTTCTCATAAATAATTTATATTCACTTAATCAATATTTCTATTGCAAAACGTAATTACAGTAAAAATCCCCATAAGATGTAAAAGCTTGAAATTTGAATAACACTGCGACGCTTTCAAGAATTTTTGAATTTATTTGATGGTTAATCATAGGACTGTTTTTATTTACCAATAATACATGATTAAATATAATTGAAACGGCAAAGAAACACTGTGTTCTCGCTCACCTTTCTTGTTTCGGCAGCCCTACTAGTAGTGCGTTGTTTAGGAAAGGTGTACCCAGGTCACGGGCCCTTATCCAGGGCAAAGGGAAGCTATAAATCTGTCGGCGAACAATGGCGCGATAACGTGCACCTTGCGCCGGCGCCGATATACCCCACCCCCCGCTCCTCCGCAGGCAAACACTCAGCTATTCTCTAATCAAGAATCCTGGCTGACAACAACAATAACATAGTGTAACATATATGTTACACTATGTTATTGTTGTTGTCAGCCAGGATTCTTATTGCCCTATAGGGCAATTTCAGGCCCTGAAATGCCACATTGGCTTCTAAGTTTGGTTCCTTGAACCAATTCCAGCGGTTGAACTGTAAAACTTATACTCAGGGAAACCGGGAAGTACTTAGTTCTGATTCTTACTGAAACTGAAATTCGTGATAATTTTTACCTTAATCTTGGATAAAGTTTATGAAGTTTTCTTTGATGGAAAAACCAATAAATTCTATTGCTAACATGAAAGCTCTTTTTAGTAACTAAACAGTGAGATAATATTGAAATTGTCTCAATAATCTACTGAAAGTTATATTTTATTAAAAGCACTTAAAGTGAAAGTTTACAAATCTGTCTCTATTTTCCGACTTGTTCTACATAAAAAATGTAGAGCTTTGTACAGACTTGCTTTTATTCAGTACCTAATAAAATGACTCTATTTTTTTAAGATCTAATTTTAAGTAACTTTCTATGAGAATGAGAATCTATTCTTTTGAATAAAATGGTAACAAAATTGTAATTTTAGCACAGTAGTTGGTTTTTCTGCAACTAAACTTTACATGCAAATCAAATGGAACTAGGAAATTATCTGCAAGTATAGAATTCATCTGTCCATTATTGAATATTTATGAATTTCAAATGTCTTCAGATTGTAGAAACTACGAATATTTAATGTTCAGTTAACCCTATTTGAGCTTCTTTGAGTAAATATAAATTTACCGTTTCCAGACAAAGACGTCAATGTTGACAATTTGACAACGCCATTTTGCAATCAGACGTCTGTGACGTCGCGCTTGCGCAAGGACCGCTGGGGGCCTCTCGCAGCAGTCTGGCTCTGGAATAACCAATCGCGAAAAGAAACGGCAATCTAATCTGCAACTGAGCTCGGGCTGGCCGTGTTTGCACAAGTTTATTGAAGTACATGGCCTACATAGACGTGATGCCGCCTGTGTATGTGCTATGTACACATTTGGCACATTTCGGTAGGTTAGCGATAGCGAGGTGAGGGGAGAAGTAGAGGTCGGCGTGGCGCAAACCTTATCGGTCATTGACCTTCGCACCTAAACCGAGCCTCACATCTCGTTCGGTGCGCGCGTTTACAAGTACAACTTATAAAAAAATTCAGGAACAGCATTGCGCGCTAACGTTTTATATTAACAAACTAACACGCCGGGATTGCGACCCGATTGAATTTCATTGAGATTTCACGAGTTTGCATCGTGTTTCAACGAATTATTTTTGACCTTTTTTCTACACAATTACGTCATGCCCAAACTAGAACTCCGTGTACTGCAACGACGTTTAAAATAACTACCGCGTATAGTTAATGCCCGATTTCGATAGATCTTTTCTAGAAATAGGATTTAGGACATTTTTTTTAAGAAATATGTTAAGTGCGTTAAAATGCTTGAAGAAGATTGAAACTTTATTGATCATACTTTTTCTTGTAATAATTACTAAAAATGGTGTCATATTGCCTAATTATATCGGCGGAATAACGACGTGTGTCGCTGACGTGAGAGCGCGCGGAGTCGCTACCTACTACTAGTTACCTACATGAAAGAGGAAAAAGGCATTACGGTTATCGTTTCAGTTTTGTAACCGGGCCAACCCGAATTCGGAGCATTTTGTCTGATCCAGTTTACAGCGTGTGTTCTCTGTCAGCCCTAGTAGTAAGTGTATCTTATAATAACATAAGATACAGTGGCCCTTAAGACCGGATCTGAGACAACGTTTGATACTGGCCGATATGAAAGTAGGCAGAGGTCTGGCTGGACGGCCAGGTAGGCGCCGCGAGGCCTTGACCTGTATACCGCGGCGCGCGCGCACAATGGACTATTCCGCGACACCGGACCCTCCACCGTCCCTCTGCCTCTCGCGTCGCATCTGACACCTTATTGTTGTCACCGTGATATTTGCCTCAATCTCCATATATGCTACTAGCCTTTACTTCGAGTCGTGATTATTTTGTTCAGGAAGCATTTGATTTCGAATATCTTTCTCACATGAAGATTCCTCTTAGTTGGCCCAATGGTATTACAATAATGAGGTCACGGGACGAAGATTAGGTATGCTACAAGCTTGTTAAATTTTCGCGAATTTTTGAGTGCCCAGTGCGAGGGTCTCCAAATTTCTCTGGAATCTGCTGTTAATTTTGGTCAGGTTATTGACTCGATAATCAATGTATACGTGACACTGTGAAGTCGGTCATGATACCGTGTAATTAGAGGCGTGCGGTGCGACGAGGCTAACAAAATTCGGGGGGCGGCGCGGGTCGCGGCCATCGCGCGTTGAATAAAACATGGCGCTGCGCACACGACGCGGCTGGCGCCAGCCGCCGCGCCCGCGCCGTGTAGAACAATAGATCTAGGCCCGGTGACGACGGCCTCTCGCGAGACGCACTGAAACCGAGCGATAGCCGCCCTGAAATAGACCCGGACGCGAAACGTCGGCCGAACGCACCGATAACGCAAAACTCTATGCCACAACCAATTGCGCGGTTAGTTCAAAACATTTCAATTAATAAGCATTGTGTCTTTTCGCTCTCGAAACTAATCACATGCATACAGAGGCCGAACATGACATTCCACGGTAGTATAGTTATGTTTTGTAAACGATACTTTACCGGTTATATGATCTGCCGCAAGAATGTCTATTCTGTGTAAATAAATTCAGTAAGTAAGTACGCAATCAGCGGGAATGTGAAGTGTGTGCAACATAATGTGTTGTGAAAGCATTCTGTTGTGCGCAAGCGCAGGCTTTTGTTGAATACAAGCCGCGAAGATTAAACGGATGCGCGCTTTGTGCCGGCGACATTGTACTCCATCGCTTTGCGCGTCTTGTCGTGTTGTTTATTTGTCACCTTATATCTTCATCACTTTTTAAAACATCTTTTAATTCAACTTCCAGATCCAGAATACTCTCAGTATCTTGAAATGCCCTAATGTCTTGTTTTCGTATTAATTGCATTAAATTAGTAATTATCTTTAATTGATTTAATAATCTTCGATATTAACGTTAATTAATTAGCTGTAATATGTAACTAAATCATACTAAAGAAATAACTGGAATGCTACTCATACCAATATCTAATCATTAAAATAGATTGAAAATCTGTCAAAATTTTCTCAAAATCATTCACAATTAGCCGTTTAAAGATCGAAATATGACATTATTACTATTAAATAATGATCAATCAACATTAATGAGCGCATAATACATGCGTACGCACTGAAAAAACAGTTTATCATCTCGAAAACCGATTAAATATCTTTCGTAGCAACTTCGTAGCAATCTCGTAGCAAGCTCTAATTTGCATTACATGGGCCCCGGGCCCGCTGTGAGAAACAGCGCTAACGATATTAAGAATGTGTGTTTGATTCTACTTAACAGGCCCAAAAATCGTGTTCTATTTACATCGAATGCACGGTCGTGATTAACCGTTTAAAAATGTAAAATGTCGGGCTTAATTGCCAGTATTAATATGCTGGACGCGCCGCTATGGGCACGTAGAAGCTATTAGCTGGAGGGAACTCATGTCGCCGCCTTAACACGCTGCCTCTACTACATATTAAAACGAAGATACACTAGATGTAGACTAACATTTTCCGTGACCACTAAAGCTTTAAGGTTGCGAAAAAAGTGCAAAGTAATTGCACTGCAATTTGCTCAAAATTGGCTTACGCTCAAAGCTGCGATTCCGATAACAGCCTAGATCGACGCTTTAACACTTAACAGTTGTGGGAAGACAAAATAAACAAGATTTATGAATCATCACTAATGTGTTCTTAACAACTTGTAATGAGTACACACTACCCTTAAAATGTTTCCCGTGTTAACGAGCACTCGGCAAACAGTATCGGCGGTGTGTACTACGGTCTAAAAATCGTTGTAACGCCACTTCCGCGCGTAGGGCCGCGAGCGCACACCGCGACGCTGCTCATTAAGGCGGACTACAGTAATTGAATACGTAACGAGTTTTCGATGCGATGTGCACACACCAGATGTATTTCGGTAATTGCCCCGAGATATTATCGCGCGCGTATTAATTATGAAGCACAGAACCGCGCATTTATTGACCTTATCTCCGGTGAGCCCTTGCGCTTTCTTTGCCTGCTTATTCGTTAATGAGCGGTGTGCGCTACAGCGGAACGGAGCGCGGTGGGAACCGGCACCGAATACGCCGTCAATTGACTTATTTTATTACTCCTTTTGTGCGATTCAATAACGTACCCCAATCATGTAACGCGGTGATGAAAGAAATTTCGACGCGATTGTGTGAATGCACGAGTTGATCTCAACTTTTCAATACATTATACAGGTGTCTCTCCCACGACATCAGATAAGAATTTAAGTGCTTGACAATGAGTTTATGTTTTATAATGATTGTTGCCCTGTTATCACATTTATCACTTAGGTACGTCGATGTTACGAATATGTTGCATCCCTCGTTCAAGTAGAGCCTTCTTGTATTATGAGACCAATTTCCGGCAGAAGCAATCCAATTGATGAATAAATTGCATCTCCGGCGCACAAACTCGTTCGTGTATCAGCCCTTCGTAAGTTCCGCGCGTCGAAGGGAGCGATTCCGAAATAAGTGTATTACATCACGCTCCCCCACGGACGCTCGCCCTGCGGCGGTTATAAATAGCCGCGGTCCCTTAAGGCGCGGGTGCACGTTTCCGGGCTGGAAGTGTGTCGCTTCCGCTGCGAGCGGTCGTTGACGCGCGCATTGTCGCCGGCATTCTCCGGCGTCGCGGCGACGTTTTTAAATAGAGGGCCGATTACGAGCGTCTGGCCGCGGCGCCGGGCATATGACCGCGCGAAAGTGCAGCGCCCGTCGCGTCACGGGCTATTTGCGACGCCGCCTCCGCCTCCGCAACCGCTCGCAGCTCGCCGCACTCGCGCCCTGATGACTGCCGCGACAGCTCTATTACCTAATCGTTTCAAAACTAACTACCTGGCTGTCACATGCTCCAAATGTACTCCGTTCGACAGCAATGTCGACGGAAATAAACTGATCATGCGCCGCGTTACATTAATTACAATTTGTTCATTATCTTCGATAACAATATTGAACTTGTTTTCTTCAAGAAAAAGCTCAGTCAAAAAGCCCAGTTAATTAGCTTTTGATTGTAAACCTGAAAATCCCGATTAATTTGCACTGTTGAGAACGCTAAATAAAGCGTTGAAATCTTTTGTACAAAATATCATTACGATAGGTACTTTTGTCCGGTTACATTATTATCAGATAAAAAAGTCCAGCAATGCCTATCTTTTGCCTATTCGATATCTCATTGGCGATTTGAGAGTGCCGTCCGCCACGATTGGCAGCGTGCGACTGCATAAGTAGCTCATTGGTCGGTGTAAAATGTGATGCTCGCTTAATAAATAACAACGGTACTTATCTATTACACCGGTCGGAATACTTGAGAGTCATGAGACTAGCGTCTTGAGGAGCGGGTAGTCGCAGTGGGTCGTGTACCGCACGGCGGCGGCAGGCGCGGGTCGCGGCTGAATAAATTCGGAGGGAGGCGCGCTGGAATGCGGGAGGCGGCGCGCGCGGGCGGGGGGCCCGTGCGACTGGCGCGCGCGCCGCTGTCCCACGGTCGCGCGGCCCCGCGCCCCGCGCCCCGGCCACTTTCTTTCGCGCCATAAAGGTCGTTTCAAATATTTCGGAATGCTGTTTGGTGACATTTCACCTGCGGGCGGCGGGGAGCGGAATGCAGCCTCCGACACTCGGCTGCGCGCTGTGCTCTGCGGCGGAGCCTTCGCTGCGCCGCCACGCGTGCCCCATACGCATGTGCACTCGCAAATATCCTAATCGCTGCTCGACTACGGCGCGATGTCCAGCCGTATCCAGAACTTATGAAAACGATACAAAAGCACTTAAAAGCTTTTTAAGATAAAGAAAATCGAAGCTGAGCTGATGATTTTTAATAATTTCTAACAAAATTGTGATCCTACCTATATCTGTGGCTCAACGGTTAAAGCTCAGTGGTCTACTTTCCACGCTCATGTGTGAACTGAGTTTCTCCAATTAATAGATTCGTTCCAATAGCAAACAGCGAGTCGGAGAAAGCAGTGACGGCGTGGGTCAACGTCCGACGGAATTCACACCGGGCCCACCGGCGTGACGTTTACGAAGAAATGTGGCGTAACGCTCTAAAATCTGAAAAACCGCGCTCGTTTTCCCATTCCGGGAAGGTGAGGGCGGCCGGGCAGCCGGAGGAGCTGCGACTTTATTGAGTCGTGCGCGGGTATGAATGGAATGCGGCGCGTTGCGCAACGCGGCGGCGCGGGCGGGGCGGGGGGCGCAGGCTGCGGGGCGCGCTGCAGCCTCCGCTGCATCTCGCGGCCATTCACGCCGCGGCCGCTGTGTGGTCGGCGAAATAACTCACCGTTAGAGCCGCGGAATGCTCGCTCTATCTCTATACCTGCGCTTGCGCATCCACTTTACGACATACCATACCAGAGCGATACGCTGATAACGAACGAGATCTCAATTGAACTCGTCCTTACTCCGCTTCACGTGTCACTTGTAGAGTTCTTGTCTTATAGTTTCATCAGCGTAATGTAGAGCGAAATGTTTTGTAGTGTTATTTAGAGTTAAGCTTGGTTTGATCTTAATTTACATTCCGTTTTGTAAAACTAACACTTGAATTTTTATGATTTATTGGGATTACTACGACGCTACGATTTTTCGTAGCACTATCATGAGCTTTCTATGTGCTTAAAGTAAAAGATTTGCTACGCTGTGTTTTGCAAGCTTTTTAATTCCTTTATTTATAAACCGATCACTTATGTATTTGAATGTATTGTGCTGAAAAGCTCAATATAGCTTTTAATAAAGTTTGCGGCGCGAGTTCTTGCAACAGCTTTGTAACTGTAACGGCAAATCTGCGAGACCACAGGCACACGGCTCGTGCGTAAATGAACAATGATATTATAAATTCGTATGCATGAGCGGTGCAGTTGCATTCTAGAGCAGCGGTTTGTTAACCGAATAATGCCGCAGGCGCTGCGCCGGCGCACTATCAATAGTGAGCGCGTCACCCGCCCTACATACTTGTCGCCGACACCGGGAACGGGTTTCGTCACCTCACGCGCTAAATTCTGTATTTATTCCCATTGTTCCACGACTACTCCATCTGCGACGCCTGCCCACTCACGGCATCCCGAAAATTTGGGACGCCCCATACGTGACGTCACGCGCGCCCATCGAAGCTCGATACGACAATGCTGAGCCGCCGACCCAATGTTTATTATTCACACGATCTAAATCTGTCAAAAACGTTCAAGTATAACGCTTCCGCTCGGCGCGTCTCAATCTTATTAGGGCACCCCGGCCGTAACACTTACAATTTGGGTCTCGGAAATAATTATTTTGCCATTGTCTATTATTTACTTTATTGTCTTGTACATGACGACGAACAAATACAGTTTCTAAACAGTCTTGGGCAACTCTGATAAAAAAGCGGAGGACGACACCATTCGTCATTATCACAAGTGTAAACATGTTTCGCGATAAAAAGTAACACATTTGCGCTATTTCCCATAGTTGTCAGCAATTAGAACGGCGTTTGTGGGTGCGGGTGAGGGGTGCGGGAGGGCTCGAGGGTGGCGGGGGTGGCGGGGGGCGACACGTGTGGCGTGTGGCCCACATAGCGCGGGCTCATTGAGCGGGGCTCCCGCGCCCGCCGGACGTGACGTCAGCGTCACCGCGCACCTGCGCCCTCGCACGCAGCACTCCGCTGCTGATCTGTCACCACCCACAGCCAATCAGTCCATAACCTAACCTCAGAAGGTCGCAGTCTTACTCCATCCACGAATGATTTCATCCGTATTTCTCAATCTGCTACAGAATAGGCGATGCTCGTTATGTCGCTTCAAAGATTTCGCCAAACCTCGATGTCATTGTGTCACGAATCCTCGGTTATTGTTGCCGATAAATTGGCGAAATAATTGTAGCGGCGCCGCGACTCCCGCGCAGCGCCCAACAAGGCCGGAGGCGCTTATCCGCACCATTTGTGGCGGCCGCGCTCCGCACTCTCCGTCTTACCTAATTAGTGCCAACTCCGGTGTGGGTGAACCCGCATTGCTCCGGCACGCAAGAGTACGAACGCCCTCCGCCTTCGTTTATTACTATTTTAGTCAATGGAAATAATAAGTAACCGCAATAATTGTGGCCGAATGAGTTCTAATGAATTTATTAACGTGCGACCATGATCGACTCCTACTCCTCGCGGACGCTGGGCAGGCGAGCGAATTGGCATTACATATCGATATTTTATGTATTACAGATGGCGTCGAGCAATTAGCAGAAGAGAAGAAGCGTTACTAGTTCGCTAACAGGGCTGAGTCAGCATGATGTCATGTGGTACGCGATGATGCGGCTAATGGGAGCGTCCCGGCGCGCGCGCACGTCACATCCCATTCCCGGCGCATACCTCAACCAATCGAGCGATGACAAATCCATTCATACTCCTCCTTTGTGGCTCGTTGTGTTAGAGGCTAGATTCTTGCGATTCCAGCCCAATTAGCGCTGATAAACACGACCAGTCCAATTGTTACTTCCCAAAACACAGCTCCATTTATTTGTTTTGTTCTGAAGTATTTGTATCTATTGTAAAAGCAGAGAAGAAAGAAGAATGAAGACAAACTACTACGACGACGGAATATATCAAGAATGAAGAAATTTCAACGCCTAAGAAGACAAAAGGAATTACGAAACTGGTTTTCATAATGATTTGACAGATTGGTTACTATTCTGAGATCATTGTGAAAGCTGATTTTGTTCCTAAGTCATCAGTATACTTACAACGAAAGAAGAAGAAAAATCGCTGAAGAAACAAGCTTTTATTGTAACATCAAGAATTTCAAGAAACATGGTTAAAGTTCACATCTAATGTTTTGCAAGTATAAAAAAGTCAACTTCACCGAATAAACTAAATCGATTATACCTAAAACACACTAATTTATGGTTTATAAGAAAGCTCAACTAGAGTATGTATGAATCTCATAAAGTTTGGTGAAGATGATTTTTTTATACATTATGTAAACTAACAGAAAAATATTGGTATTTACGTGTTACTAACATTACAAAATCCCAACCTAAATGTTTTTTTGAAATATTAATAATGGTGAAAATGAATGTTTTATAATTGGATCATTGGATCATTTTAAAAAAATGAAAAAATTAAATGTTTTATTCAGCGACACAAAACAACATCAAAGTATTAATCTCGCCACCAACCTTTGCTAAATGTGTGTGGGATCTAATTAATTATATTTTATTCATTCAATCATTCATTGTTCATGCCATGAGTGTGAAACATGACGTAAAAGTATTAATATAAATATGTACAGTTTAGAATGACAAAGCTAATATATGAATAACAGTGATAAATTTTCCCTTATTATTTATTAGTCAACCCATTCATTAATATCAAAATGATGATGCATTGTAAAATACTTGTAAATGTAACTCAAATAAGTAGGTACCTATCATCGTAAATTACATTTCGCTTTATAATGTTTCGTTGTTAAAGAATAAATAAATTATTTTTATGGTAGCACCAGTATGAATAAAGGGACCAAAATAATGTTCAAGATTTTTGTAACAACAATGTAATCTGTAAATATTTAACTATGTATGTAACCCTCATCAACGTTAACAGAACAAGATTAAATCGACCTAAAATTGTAATATTTTTGTTATTTATTTACTGATTATATTATTTTATGGTTAATTTTTTGAATGTAACGATTGTCTCTGTCTGGGATCTTTTTGAAAGTTACAGAAATACCTACTTGTCGGTTTATTAGGGATTCTTTACTAAAGAAAATGTAAGTATGAAAATGTGGAATTTTATGAACAAAATTTGCAATGCAATATTATGCAATATGTTATTCCATTGTAACATACTCGTACATATACTTTTAACTAATATAAGAATATTAACCCGTTAACCCCTACAGTTAAGTAAATTATAAAATTATAGCTGTGCCCGCGACTTCGTACGCCTGAAAACCCGTTTTCCAAACATTTTTCATTTTTGCTCTGCTCCTATTGATCGTAGCGTGATGTTTTTTTTTATTTTTTTTTTATCCACAACGAGGAAGCTCTTGGCCTGTATCTCACCTGATGGTAAGTGACGATCAGGCCGAAGGTGGAAGCGAGCTTCACCCGGAATCCTCAACCACGGAGGAGGTTGTATAAGCCTTCCTCGATAAATGGGCTATCTAACACTGAAAGAACTTTTCAAATCGGACCAGTAGTTCCGGAGATTAGCTCGTTCAAGTAAACAAACAAACTCTTCAGCTTTATAATATTATTATTATTAGTATAGATAATAATTATGCTCATGTTAGGAGTGTGTTCACCACAATACCTCGGTTTGCGAATCGGCTAGTCTGACACCGACACGGTGTCGGTGTCAGACTAGCCGGTGTCGGCGACACCGTTGCTGGGCTATTGTCGCCTCAAAATATTGCATCTGCTTAGTTATAAACTGGTATTGTATTTTACAAATTACTGACAAACAGACGACTTAGCGCTTCAGTAAGGTCTGTCACAGAACGAAGCTCAAAAGTCGATTTAATCTTAGGTATCTGAAAAAGGTTTCGTTTGCTGATTTTCAATATTTAGACCAATACAGAACACAGTCTACGAGTTCTACGACTGAGATTGAATTCAGATTTGAGCGTTCTTTCTTTATTTATTTATTTGAACACCAACAAGGTTACATAGAGGCTTCACAAAAGTAACTATGTATAAAAATTTAGTTAGGTCTTTATCTTAGTATGTGCTGTGACCCCAGTAGTTACAACCCAACGATAGAATAAGAAATAGGTATACTGAATTGATTCCCTTGTGATAAAATAAAGCTTGGTGCTGTCAACTAAACAATTGCCTTGTTATTTACGCCGGTATTCACAAACGATACTTGCTTAAGTGAAGCAGAAAATCGAACGCACAGCGCTGAATAGAGCTCTGTGATTGGTTCGTGTGTCAACCTGTGCGTCCACGCGCACTGTGAGACCTCATAGTAATGTTTGTGGATACGGGCGTTAAGCACAGAAGTAATGGTTCGTCATAATAACCTGTGTGTTATCAGAGTAAAATTATCAGTTTTTTTTATTTTAGTTTAGTTTAACTAACCATGGCATCTTATAGGTAATCTATCAATAACGTTGCATCGAAATAAGTCTGGAAATTGACTTGAGATTCAAGTAGCCTTTCGTCGAAGCTTGAATCAAAGAACATTCAAACTTTGTATCATCATAATGTGTTATTCAGTCTTTTAGACAGTGTGATTATCGATTTCAAACCGAATTCACGATCGCTTACGTACAAAACATATTTAGGCATAGGACTATCGAATCTATAAAATAACGAATAATAAGGACGCCAGTCCCGCGCTTCTACCTTCTTCATCTGCCTTATTTTTTTGTTAATACCGTCATTTCAGCAATTTAAAAGACAATAATCAAAATCTAAAATTTTGATTTAGATGATGTTATAGGTGTAGTCCGCGCCAATAGATTGTAATATTTTAAATAGCCGCTTGTATTGTACGGAATGACGGTAGCTTCGTAAAAGTAACGGACGGGGAATGTCGGGTTAAGTAGTTTTGGGAATAGATATTGCTATGTGCGAGGTTAAACTTAAATATATAAGAAAGGTTGTGTTGTTTTTGCATTATTCTATCATAGTATTATAATTTAAGGCTGCTGCACTGTCAAAATGTTAAATTACATTATAATGTAACATTTATTTCATTTTAAGTGAACTGGCTAATAACAAAATTCTATTGAAACAAATTGAAAGGAGAATCTACTAAGACCAAATATTCACAGCCAATCTTAACTCTTATGGATGCATAATAAGGAATTTTTAAATAATAATAATAATAACCAATTTGGAAATCAGGCAAGCTCATGTTCAGCATTAAGCCCAGTTTCCATCAAAGCGGAGAAGAGAGGAGACTACAGATGTGTTTTGAATGCAAATGCAGTCGCGCTGCTGTAGTGCGTTAGTAGCGCGTTGGCATCACTTCTTCATTAAATCAAAATAAGTTTCGTGGAACCATTTCTCATACTAAGTTCACTTTACGACACGTTTACAAGGGCGCTGTATTAGTATTCGTACTAAATCTTTTGATGGCGATTCGAATACGCAAATGATTCGAACTCGAAAGTTTTTCGTGCTAGTCGTACTGTAGTGCGTTGCAAATGCGACTAACGCGCGTTAGTAGCAATGCTGTCGGGCGTTTACGAAAAAGCCGCCATGGGTCAGGGCCCTTAAGACGTTCTAAGCCACGATAGGGGTCGGGCTGGCCGACTGGAGATCCGAGGAACGCGGGTTCGAACCCCGCCGCACTGGACTATTGTGGTGAACACAAGTAGGTAGGTATATTTCGCTTGCCAAGAGGGTGTTAACGGGACTATTAGTAATTTGTGCGATACAAATAACTTTTTTTTTTTCTTTTTTTTTTGTTTTATGGTTTAATCATGCGATCAGTCCTCAAAAACTATAAGCAGATGGGGTGGATTCTTTTCGTCATTCAGAGCACTGCTCCCAGCGGAAACAGGCCTTTATTTTTCTTAATCTCAGGTTTATTTTCAGACTAATTCATTGTCGAAGATATCCCGCCGCTTCTTAAGCCGCCGTATGGTTTCTGGGATAGTGAGCTGCCCAGCCAACTGGTTCGGGTGCTTTGACAGTCTTAGCTTGTAGCTGTTTCCATGGGTATCTATCTCTTGCTTCACCATAGGCACGTTCAATAACTCGTGCAGCTCTGTTGTTCTTATAAACCATGGTGCATTCGAGATTTGTTT